GGCTCTGTCTCTATCATGGCTATCCATTAAGGTAGGTAGGTACCTATTTTCCAAGGTGTTTTAAGGAAACTGCTGGAGTTGAAGTACTGCAAATACTTCGACTGCAAAATGGTGAGCACTGATGCCAGAAATGCTGTGAAAATTCATAAACGGCTACTCAGATATCTTAATAGCTGTGGCATAAGATTCCAATGGCAGTCATAAACACCCCTTTTTTTGTAGTACCGATCAATTCTAGCACTTCCTGTCTCAGTGCAACTTCTTTAAAAACAGCCCCCTGAAAAAACACAGCCCCTAGAATAAACTTTTGATTATCTTTCAATGGCTGTCCAAAATCCTTATTGAATAATACTTTGCTATGCTGTATCTAGCTGAAGACCAGATGCCGTTGAACTGAAGTCATCAATAGTCCATACAAGTACAGGCATCTGCTTGCATAAAACAACTTGCTTTATCAGCTCCTTACCTTCGAGCTCTTTGGACCAGGACCAGTCTCATCTGTGAGGTACATTGTAAGTGTAGCAGTTGTAAAAAAAAGAAATCTCATATCCTGATTGCCATTCTCCTCATGACAGAGAGGATAAATTGTAAAATTTTTATTGCAAAATATTAAAATAAATTACATTTTACAAAGACTTAGCAAATATTTACATACAGTGTGATTCCAGTGACAATCAGCAACAAAGAACAGACAGACAGGCATATTATGGAGTGGTAAGTCAGAACTGTACAAACTTCAAAAAGCCATATGAAAGACAAGCTAGTTTTTTTAAAAAGGTAAATCCATCACAAACGGAACAAATCCCACGAGGCACAAAAATTACAAGTCTACAACAGAATTCTTGGGGGTTTTTTTGTTTAGGTCAATAGACTTGTATATTGCTTTTTGCTCTCCTCATCAGTGACGCTTGTCTGTCTCTACCCATGCTCTCCCAGATCAACTGGAAAAAAAATAAATCTCAACATATACAACTGTGTCACCATGGACCTGTTATCAGTCTATGGTTTTTATTTCTGCATGTTTTGTGACATCCATTGCCAGCAACAGATTCACAAATCATTAGTTCAGAAAAATTCAACACATCACTTTTTGTTTTTCCTCAGTGATTTCGTACCAGTGTATCAGATGTGTTAGACTGCCTGCTGTGAGATATGTATCTGAAAATGATGCTCTTTTGGTCAAAATAGGTTTCAATAGCACAAGACAAAACTAAGAAGTGTCACAATGATGTCATGAAGGATGGGGTCACATAGTCTGTAGCACTTAAAAGGCCTTTTGTAGGAACAGACTTTTGTTGTCACATTTCAGGTTTTTTTTGTTGTTTTTTTTTTTTTTTTAATTTTTTAAAGTATTGGCTCATCTTGGCAAAATCAGTAAGTTTACATTGTAAAAGTGGACCCACGCTTCACATGATGTGACTGGAAATACAATCTACTTGTAGGTAATAGCTAGAAAGAAGAGTTTCCACTTCTATTCCATCCCTTATATGTGCTTTTAAGTTTTTCTTTTTTTAAAAACCTCCTTTTCTCTCTTTCCAGGAAGAGATCTGTCTCACCTATAACTAATTCCATAGCATTAAAAGAGCTATTAATATTATTGGTTAGCCAAATGAAACCTTACATGGCATCCAAAGAAAACTGGATTCCAGATTTCCAGATTGACCAGATAATTGAAATAACTACAAGACCTTACCAAGTAGCACTGGGGAATTCAATCAGAGGCACTTTTGGGGCTGAATAGCTTAAAAACTAGCCTGGACACCCCTCTAACTCATTACATGTAAATCTGAAGGCAGAAAGACATTAATTTAGCTTCCTCAGGCAGCTGCTTTTCTCAAGATGTGGAAGACAGGCAGGCAAAAAGCTGTCTTGCTTAGCACTTTGGCAGTTCTGAGATGGCACCGTAATTTAAAAAACCCTGGGAAATGGTTCAACTTTTTGGAGAGAGCCAGTATGAAAGCTGTGCGCTAACTGCACCCCTCCAAAACACTGAAAACAAGTAGGGCTTAACGAGACCAATTGTGTTGGCCCCTGTGTAAAGAGGAATTTTTTCCCAGTGTTAGGATTACATTAAGGCACATGGTGGGATGTCTTGAGAACAGTTTTGTGAGGTGTGATCATGTTTCCCAAAAAAAGCGGGAATATTGTACTTCATTTTAATAAATTTAAACTATTACTTTAAATCCCATGGTACTTATTATGCAGACTTATAGTTTATGCTGACTCCACTGGGAAAGGCCAGAGAGCTACATCTAACTTGATAATATGAAACAGATCCCATCCATTCTCGGCTCTGGCGTACAAGTGCATTTTGCTACGGAGAACGGAGAGTCTAGGTTCCAGTGTGCAACTTCCCCTCCCAATCAAAGCAGCCCAGCCAAGTGTCTGGGTTGTATTATTTCTGTATTAAAGAGAATTTTTTTTCTTTTTTTAAATGAAGATTGGGCTATGCTTTTCTATTTCATGCACTTTCAGCAGGCCTTTCTCTCCTCACTGTCCTGCAGCTTTCTAACTGTCACTAAAACTTTGATCTTTGCATTAATAATGGAAGACAAGTTGAAGGACAACAAAAGCTCCATATATGGAGTGCTTCCTCATTTTCTTTTAAGCTAATGTGCACTTTTTTTAAGCAAAAAAAGAGAAGACTAAACTTGCTACACAAGCATCCTGTATATCATGCACATAGTCTTATAGTCTTACCCACCATTTCTTACAGTTCCAAGGTATAGCTGTCAAGCACAACCCCTCAGATATATAGAAATACTTGGAAGGGCTTGGAGTCATTTTAAAATGACAGGGGTGTCTACTAGAAGTAAATCAGAATCTTTGACAGGGCCTCTGCCTCTTTCCTGTCAGATACAAGTCAAATTCATCCAGCCACCCCTGCTCCAAATAACAGTAATATAATGAAATTTGATTCAAAATTAGAATCTCTCTTCAGCAATATTATCACAAAATACAGATTAACTACCCAATCCAATGATGTCAATTCCACATTTTTGCCAGTATAACAGAGGTGCCCCTACCCTTGTGTTCACTTTCTATTTAAAAAAATCATATACATGGAAAATTCTGGGGGAAAAAAAAGACTAGTAAAGACAGTCCCTTGTCTCACAGTAGATGACTTCAAAAACTTCCCATCAACAGGCCACCCAACAAGAGTGCCCGTTTCCCATATGTTGTTCTTCTGTAGAAGAGGCCAGCAACTGAAGCTGCAGTCAATACCTGCAGTTATTAGAAATATCTAGTAATTCAAGATCAACATTGCAAGATTCCATAAGCTCTTCCTACAGACCTAGTGAGTCTGCCAGCATTAGACTGAAAACAATGACTTTTAACTGTTCACTGAACTTTGGAAACTTTTGGACATACTGGAATGACTTAAATACTGTAAAACTAAACAGAATGACAGAACTTGACGTGTTAAGGTTCAAAGGTCTTGGCTATTTTCCATTTCAGGTATATTGGATACAACTGAAGTCAGTACCTTTTGACAACATGTAATCAAGAGCCTCGTTTGACAGAGTGTCAGGGTAGTGTCAGGGTTAACACATAGATATGGAAAAAGAAAAAAATAAAACTATGGTATAATTTTCTTTGTAGCCAAACCAATTTGGGCATAAATGTTTTGAAGAGACATACTTCCTTCTCAATCAGAAGCCCATCTCCAAGCCAAAAGAATACTTTCAGGACCTTAGAGCCAAAGTTCCTTTTTAAAAGTGCCTTATGGTCTTAAGTCACTTGATCACATCTCAGCTTGCCCAAGATTTGACATTGCCCAGACTTCTTGAAAGTGGGATAGAATAACCATTGTATATGCACATAGGTCAAACTTTAAAACAAAAGAAATAAAGAAAATGAAATCAACTGTTTAAAAAAAAAAAATCGTCTCTCATTCAAGTCTAAGTACCAAGGCAGGGAGGAACATAAGACAACAATACTGATTAACACACTGCACAGATCAGCAGCAGTGCTACAGGTCCCTTCTGACAGGCATTAGGGCATTTGGAGAATATCTGTGCCTCCCAAGGTGATTTTTTCCTCAGAAGACAGTGTCAATAAAACTTCACCTGTACATAGATACTGTATAAGGTTCATTCAAGTATTTCCTCTAGGAAATGGACAGTGGAAGGACACTTTCAACATTAAAAATTTCATTGCATCCTGCTTGTGCTCATACATGCTTTGATCAATAGGTCTTCCAGTCACTTTACTCTTTAACAGTTGTGGGGCTGATGTGCAGTTTAGCAGCCCAATTGGTGAGCTTCATCCCAGATGATTCTTCCTTGTCAGAGGGCTCCTTCTCAATCCATTCCTTTGGAATTTTTAATGTTAATATTTTATTTATGAAACTACAATTCACTATAGTTTGACAAGCACTGACATAATTTAGACAGAAGTTTCAGAAGCTTCCTCCTCAATCTGCCAGCGCACCTCAGCTCAGATTGTCCTGGTATTCCATCTAAAGTTTTCTCATGAAGTACAACTAGTGGCTGCCCAATTTTTTTTGTGGTAACAACTTAACAATAGTCAACTTATAAAAGCAAACCCCTTGCTTTCATTTGTGATCAAAGGAGGATTGAAATCCAGGTTTTCAGAGGTGAAAGGCTAATAGAGTAACCGAACACATTTGATGCCCAAAACAGTCTCTTTGCAACAGTATAGTTACACTCCCAAACTAAATCCTCAATGAAATGCATAACTGCAGAGCAGGTCCAGTGTATTAACTAGTCTTTTCTACTTTGTTCAAGAACCATAAAATCCCAAGAAGGAGCAGTACTCCAAATTCAACTGTTATTTTACAAGTTTTTCAGATAAGCAAAGCTAATGGGCTCAGAAACCAACTTAGGATGGGAAAAGGACACTGGAGTTTTTTAGTTTGGGACTTGCTTTTGTTTTCAAAGAGACAGGAGAAGTTGCAAAAACATACTTTTCTCCTTGCTCTGTTAATTTCTTCAATATGCACTGACGACTTTCAGAAAACCATTGTCAAACATGCTTCACGTTGCAGCCTTCACATTGCTTACTGTGTTATACTCATTCATCAGTTGTTCATAAGGCACAGAAAGTTCTAGCTCGTTATTGGTAAAGGTAGATTCATCAGAGGATGGGAATTTTACCAGCTTTTTTGCAGTTTCAGATTCCTCTGCAAGATTGTCATCCATGGAGGATTTTGATGTTTCCTCATCATCTGAGATATCCTCCTCTTCATCATCCTCTTCATTTACAAATGTTATATTGGCATTCTCAAATATTAAGGGTCGATAGTCTCTGGAATCCCACACTTCACCTTCTTCTTCACTAATCCTGTCTAGCTGGTTTACAAACATGGTTCCTTCTAGAGGGCTGTCTCCAAGACGTTTATCATGCAGAGGTCTCAGTACGTGACCATTCTGAATGTCCAGGGAAGCCTCATCATACTCAAATGACTCTGTCTTTGTGTAAGTCACCTGGGCATCTATACTGGCATTCTGCATATTTTGTTTAGTATTTTCTACTTTAATAATTTTGTCACTGTTTGTCTTCAGGGCCTTTTTCCCAATTTGCTTAATAAGATCATTGTAGGTCTCTTCCTTCTTTGAAAGGAAGCTGAAAATGTTGACATCCTTTGAGGTACCCATTTGAAGGGGTTTTTTAGATCGAGGATGGTTGTCAAATGACTCTTTTCTTTTTTTCCTCCGTTTCTTGATCGCTTTGTGGACTTCCACAAACATACTGACCTTCCAGTTAACAAAGAGTGAAAGCCAAGCTAGTCCCAGATAGATCCACAACTCCACAAAATATCTGTAAAGGGCATGATAGTTTGCATCTGGATTTACCCCTACAAAGAATTAAAGACAAGAACATTACTGAAAGAGGACTTGCAGCTGATAAATCTTTGAAAGTATGACCCTGAGAACTATTCCCTTCCACACTAACAGAGCCTAGTTGTTTGAACTCTGCTCTGAGGGGTGGTAAGTGGGGATCTGAAACCCTTATGACAGAAAAAGTTTATTCCAGGTCTTCCACTTCTTGGCTGTAGACCACTGGGCTTACAACATAAAATGGCAGCATATTTAGCCTCTCCTCCTAAGCTATAAAAGTGAACTTTTTTCCTGTTTGAAGATTATAAGCCTTCTCTCTGCCATTGAGGTATGGATATAAATACTGTCCTTGAAAGTGGAATTCTGAATCCTTATCTCAAGGACCATGTCCAAAGCCCTGAATAAGGCAGTGAATTTTGGAGAAAGGCAAGATTTAGGAGGGAGGCACCAGTATGCTCAGCGTTTCCTGACTAGCTCTAGACAGCTGCACAGAGAGCACTGCTCAGTACTTATGCACCCTTGCTTAGGATACTGGATCCCATTCAAAGGTGCTTAACTATCACGGTGGATAGGATAGCTCCTTGCCTGAAATAGGAACCTAGGGCACCTGAAAGTGTTATAAACTCCAGACGTAGTCCAATAAAGGCCTTAGGTATCTAAACCAAGGCTGAAGAGCCAGATCTAGCCCATTGGATCAGTACCCAGTTTTAACTGAACCTTTTATTAAGCAAAACGTTTTGGAAAAGCTTAGAAATCACCTTTTCGAATTAGAGTTTGGAAACAGAATTGTCACAGTATGCATGTAGTGAAATAATACATAAAATACAATTCCTCACCAGCAACAAAATCTCCAAATCCTATGGTGGTGATAGTGATGAATGAGAAATAGAGGCCTTCAATGTAATCCCATCCTTCAGTCACCATAAAGACAAAGGGAGGAATAACCAGATGGACCAAGACACCCCAAACAATGAAAATAGCTGTGCATGTAATTTGTGCTTTCCTCTGTGAAGAAAGAAGACAAAAAGAAAGAGTTCCAAATTTTCTTTTCCCATCCATGGCATCAAGCATCATCTGACAGTGTCAGACATTTTAGAGTTTTGTGCAACCAGTTTATCAGCCATAACTAAAAGACACTGGCTGAAGCAAACACACAACTATTTTTTTCCTTTATGCTCACTATTCTTACAAGTAGTTGCTCAAAACAGGATTATTTCCTCATAATTTTCTTTCATACTCTTGAAAAGTTTGAGGTGTTCCTGATATTTTAGAAATAAGCATGGGATGCAGATATAGCACTCTAGTCTAAAAAGCAGTCAGTACCTCTGATTTTCCTTTTATTCCTTTGAGTATAGGGGATCAGAAGTGTTTAAGGTGCCCTCCTACCTTTGCCACTCACGTAACCCCTGCACAGAGCTGCACACATACATGCATTTTACCATAATTTTCTGTACTTTCTTCTCACATGCTGAACCATGAAAGTTCTTGCTCTGTTTCTGAAACCAGGACCTAAATTAGTCCCATTGTCCTTCAAGCACTATGGCCCTGTATTGCCTCCCATCTCTGTGCAGAGTTAGAACTGAGATCGAACTCACTCAAGGGCGAGTGGGACACGTGACAGACCCACCACCAAAAAAATTACAAAAAGCCAGAACCAAAAAACCCACAAGCCAGTAACTCAGAACAAAACGTTACTTTCCAGTTGGTTCACTGCACGGCAGGGTCTATTCATACTAGCACAGAAGCAGGTGGGAACAAAGCAGGACAGCTTATTTCCGTGCCAGAGGAGCTTGCACAGAATGCCTGTGAAATGGAGCCTCACCTACATTTGTCCCACAGGTTTCTAATGTAAGGAGATACGTATGTCTCCATCAAAGCAGCAAGATCTGTATTTAGTATCAAAGATTTCTACAAGATCTTATTTTGCTAAAACTTCCTGCAGAACTAACATGTCAGACCCAATCCCCCTTTCACTTATCTCTGTGCAACATCATTTGGGAAAATTCCTATTTGTGCAAGTGTTCATTTACTAGCAAGATTAGCAGGTAAGTTAAGAAGTGTAAGTTTAATTCATACATCAAAAATGCACAGCACGAGGGTAAACAAGAGAAGGCCTTACCAGGCTTACTCCTCTTTTTGTCAGAAACTGGCCCAGCCTCTTGGCACGTCCTCCAAAGAACTTCCCCAGAGCACTGATCCACGTCAAGCAGAGAGGAACTCCAAAGAGCCCATAAAATATGCAGAAGAGACGCCCAGAGGGTGTCTTTGGAGAAACATTTCCGTAACCTAAAAGAGGTAAGTATGTGCACAGTCTGTTGTTGTTGCAGAGAATTCAAGGCAATTTTACCTATGCACAAAACAACACTGCGTGGGATTCTGCTGTATCAGATGCTCCTTACTTCACCATCTATAAGCGCTTGAGTCTACTCCAGCTGCTGATCTTCTGAATCTGGATGCCTTCCAATTCTACTCTAGCAAATGTGTATTCCATTAATGCAGGCTGAGAGGATTACTGCATTTTAAGTGTTTCCTAGATTTTATGCATCATTTTCTTGACAAGATGTGACAAATATGAAATAAAGCTCATCTCAAAACTTCTAATATGATTGCCCAACCTTAAGAAGCACTGTTAAAAACTTGACTGAATCACTTTTATAGAATGAAAGCTTAAAATTTATCCTGAAGCTAGCTTCCACGTGAAAGATCCACTATACACATTTAACTTGTGACCTGGTACCTTTCCAGGATAAGGGTTTGTGAGTTAAGTGCAAGGTGACTTGTGATATAGCAAGGTATTTCAGCTGAATTTAGTTCTTTGCTGTTCACAGAACCCAGCAGGGCATTACAAACTCAGCCTCTAAAATCAGCAGCCTATTTCCTGAACTTCTGCCAGAGCTTTCTTATTTAGGTGTGTTCCTGACTTCAAGATTTTGTCATCAGTTATAATATAAGGTGGGTATTGGGAGTTTCAAATAAGGAAAACCACAGTACTGCATATGGTTTAACAGTAAGACTTCCATTTCCATATACCTCCAGCCTTCTCTGGTTATTTTGCATTCCTGTTTTTTTGCATTGTAAGGTGTAGCAAAGATTTTTCTATAAAAGCAGAAGGCAGATGATGTTGAGCTCTGAAAATCTGTATATCAAAGGAGGAGGAAGTCTTTCAATGCAGAGGGTTTTACAAGCACAAATCAGTAGTGAGTTTTAGAAGATAACAACTTGTTCTACTTTGCCTTCTTTAAGAGATATATAAAAAGTCTAGATTGTTCTGCAAGCCAAGAACACTCATAATTCAGTAGCTTAAGAGGATGCACGTGAGTAACAGGACAGCTATACAAAACCCACATATGCACATGCTTTAAGAATTAGTTTAGTGGAATGTTTTGTAACGCTTTTGATTCGGGATCTTATGATTTGGAAATCTAAGTGCATGAATTAATGGAACTGGAATGACACCAGTCATCCCCAACAGCACCTTGAATCTGTTATGTATTGGAAAGGCACACATTTCTCTTCTGTATACCCATGGAGAGGGCCAAAAATCTGGGGTTTTTTTCTTCTATGAACCCATGGGTAAACACATACTCTAGGTAACTTCAGCCATGGGGACTTTATTCAGTGGCTAGCTTGACACATAAATGGAAGAATACAACTAAACTAGAGCATACAGAAAACTACAGTTAGGAAAGTTGACCTAATAAATACTTACCGATTGTAGTGATCACAGTAGCAGCAAAGATCACAGCGTTAGGCCAATTCCAGTTGTTGAAAGTGTTGTTCCCAGTGATGGCAACCCCCTGTCCAGCCGCATTTGACACAACCTGTAAGAAAACAGTTTACAGCCATTCTTGGAAAATCCTGGCAGCCTGAAAGAGAAATATGTCTGTCCCTCTCAGATTTTCCCCCTTTGTTCATACTTTCAAAATAAACACTCAAGTTTTTTGTGAAGGCTAGCCTGGTATATTAGCTAGCAATAATTTTATGGAGTACTAAAAACTTGCTTCACCTAAGAAAAAGTAGTGCAGGTGCTCTGACATTTAAATAGGGGGTTTTAATTAGATAAGCTTTTACTTGATTTACCAGTTCAACCCAAATGGATCTCTTCCAGAGACCACACTCCTCCAGACTGAACTAGCATTTAACCTCCAATGCAGTTTTGAATTTGGTTTAATATTAGGGACATCTTCAGAACTACTATCCATTTCAAAACACTGTTACATGCCTCAGCTTGACTTGGGTATGAGCAGGACGTCATAGAACCCTTGGCAAAGCTAGTGCGATTAACGTTAATTCACCTGCTGTCCCTGGCAAAGTCAAACCATCTACAAGCCAATGTAAAACTACTTTTCAGCAAAGACAGACAAATCAATACTTTTCCAAAGTATTTCATGCAACAAGACTCTAATCATCATCCTTGAATCTGGCCCCTTTCGTATCCCATCTTTGAATCTGGTGCGCAACGATGAATGCAAAGCACTAGTTTATAATATTTTAGGGAAGCAAGTGTAGTTGCTGACATTTCCACAGATTCAGCAAGCCAATTTTTTAACATCTGTTCAGGTCTTCAGGTACTCAAGAATTATTAGTCATCTTCATCTTTTGTGCTAAGGGACTTTGACAACCCAGCCTCCCCTGCCCTTCCAAAACTAGACCATTGAAAACACATTGATGAAAAACATAATGACTATTTAGTGAAGTCAAAGTTTCAGATCAAAATCATGTATCTTGCCAATCCTAACATGTATTTCTACCTCCCCAAAGTAAAAGAAAAAAACAATTGATCATATTCTCTCCTAGACATCCCTAGTTATTTAAATCTTTGCTCTGTCACATCGTGCTGCAGCTAAAGCCATCTCAGGTTACTCTGCTTTTTTCCCTCTGGTGTAAACCAAGGTCGTCTGAACAAAACTCTGAGGCTATGTCCATATAAAGGAGAGGTGAAGGTACCTCCAAAAGTTGACTCATGCCATTATCCCACTTTCTGTGTTTCTCCCTCAGTAAGTGTTGAACACAAAAATTATCTTGAGCTAAACAGCTAAAATTGAAGGCAATATACTTTTTTTTTTTTTTTTAAATAAACATGACAGGTGAGGTTTATCTTAAACTGGTAAGAAATTACAGAGGTACCTACACCCAACTCTTCCTTCCCTCGTCACCCCGTCCTTCCTACTTGATTAAGATCTGATCTTGGACCCAGCAGAGACTCAACACAAAGTTCAATCGCTACTGAAAACAGACACAAGTTAACACAGGTTTTAATTATTCTTGAGACTTATTACATATCACCACCCTCCTACTGTAATAAAAAGGCCCTCAAAGTGAATGTATTGTGCATATACAAGATGCAAACAATTTAATTAAAAATGCACTTTCAACACACAAGCTATTACAGAAGATAAAAGGGGAAGCACTGAAAGTGAATGAAGGTACAGGACTAGATTTTTCTCCTGGTAAACTCAATGTGTGTGCAAAACTGCATGCAGTGTCTTTCCATAGCCTTCCTTTTCTGGATAGAAAAGGATATAGAAAGAGTTTTCTCACCAAGGCAGTCATTTGTCATAAGAAAGTAGTGCTGAAATTACAAGTAGCCCTAAAATGGGCAGGTCCAGAGCAGGCAAATAAACACACAATGCCACCCCCTTCCAAAATACAACAACAACAACAACAACACCCCAAACCAAACAAAAAAAAAAACCAAACACACACATTGAGGCAGCTACAGTGGATTATAAGAATTCATCTGAGTAGATACCAGTCAAAGTAACTTCATCTCTGATACCGTCTGGAGATGAACTTCCTAAAAGTCCCAAAGGATGTCCAAAGTACCCAACAGACACAATCTGTGACCCATTATCTCTGAAAAGATGCTTTGACTTCTTCCACTGCTCAGCAATACCACACTAAATGTTCTATCAAACACCAGTTCTCTAGTCATTTTCCATGCTATACATGCGCTTGGATTTTTTTTTTTTTTAAATTGTTATTCTTCACAGAGCAACTGATCTCATAAGAGCAGCAGTGAAGTATCTGTTTCCATTGTCGCTGGGCCATTATCTCATTGCATTACTCCACCTTCAGCCTGAGCTAATGAGCTCAGCTTCCCAGTACATACAGTTACATTAAGGTCTGCCAGCATTTGAAGTCTAGAGGTGTGAAGGGGCCCAGACCAAAGGGGAAAAAGCTGCTGGGCTGAGTAGTACACAGCTGCCCTTCACACCCAGGCAGTTATTCTGGGGGAGAGATGGCCAGCTCTCCGAGTTATATAAAGACTTTGTATAGAGAATCATAGATACTCTCCAGCCAAAGCTGTCACCTTCTTCCTGTCCCTATCTGCACCCAGCTATCTGCTATTAGCACACAATTACCTATGACCTACAGTCTAGTCTTTTAAGTTACTTTATGCCTGCAATAAGCCTGAATGTACTATATGCATCCCAGCTGGAGGAACAAAGATGGTCGCAAAACATGCTTAGATAGCTTTGGTGCAGTGGGAAACACGTAGCTGTTTTCCAGGCAGCATAACTTTTGCCCATACTGAAATAATTAAATATTTTGGCTTCAAACCATGTGAGTGGACACTATACAACTGAAGACCAAATATGTTTTTTTCAATTGGTAAAGCTGTTAGGCAATGTCAGAGGTACCTTTATTTTCATATGCTAGGATACAAATGCCCCAGGTTGCTTTTGCTGGATTTCTTAAACTACAGAAAATTTGCTCTCACAAGCCTTTGGATGCGAAAATAGGAGGCAAGGAGGGAGAGGAAGAAGAAGATAATGGTGCAAGTGTTTTTAAAGTCTTGAAAGATGTCATTTAGAAAATACCTTTTCAAGTATTCACAAATTCAAAAGCTGAAACTAAGTTAACTAACTCAGAATTTACACATCGCCTTAAATCCCACTTCATGACAGTTTGTACTGATAAAGACAGGACTTGATTTTCAGTCAAATGATTTTTGCCTCACAGGAATCAAACCTTCTCTTCCCCCTCACTCCCTACCAGCGCAAGTCTGCACTTTGTCAAATGAAAAAGGAAAAGAAGATCTAGAGTCCCTGGAGGTTTGCTAGGGCAAGTCTCTACAGTGGCTTAAAAGCTTGCGATAATCAGCAGACCCGCCTTAGCTGTCCTTGTCTTTGTATTAGCAGGATGGATGGTTAGGTTTGAATTTCATCAATACCACTGCAAGGTAAAATGGATCACAACAGAATGACATTTCGTCCCTGTAGAAGTAACGCAAGGGTATAAAACTAAGGGAACAAGCACACTGGAGACTGCCTACATAACAAGTGGGTTTTGTCATAACTAGGTATGTGGAATATGCAATTTTACTTTGGCTTCTTGGCCTGAAGAAGGAAAAACAGGACAGACCTTCTGTCTTTGTAAGCGCGAACAAGTGCGCAAGTCTTTATTTTCTTTCTAGGAACAGCAGAAAATATTCTTTTACACGCTCCCTTCAGGTGTTTATATACATTTATGAGATGCACCTGAGCCTTCTCTTCTCCAGACTGAAGAGTCTCAGCTCCCTCAGCCTTTCTTCATAGGAGGACTAGAGCATCCTCCAGTCCCTTGATCATCTCAGTGACTCTTTGCTGGACTCTCTCCAGCATGTCTCTTGTATTGGGGAGCCCAGAACTGAACACAGTACTCCAGGTGTGGCCTCACCAGTACAGAGTAGAGGGGAAGGATCACCTCCCTCGACCCGCTGGCAATGCTTTGCCTAATGCAGCCCAGGATACCTTTAGCTACGTTTGCTGCAAGGGCACATTGTTGGCTCCATGTTCAACCTGATGTCCACCAGGACCCCCAGGTCTTCTGAAAAGCTGCTTTCCAGCTGGGTGGCCCCCAGCATAATGGTGCATGGATCCACATGTGGTTAGCGATGTTATTCTAACAGTTAAGGACGGCAATAAAGCTGTGATACAGGTTTTGTGTATGAAGTATTAATGATTTCATATTTAATAAGGATTAGCTGGATCTGATAATAATGAGCAATAGGAAAGAAAAAGGACTTCTGAGGTACTTATGGCCAGATAGACAGATAGGCCAGACTAAAGACACAAGGCAATAAACAGACTATATAAAACTAGAGCAACAGATCCTGCCCCACTGCCACCCTATTACATATAAAAAGAACAGCCAAATACTGCTCAGCGCCAATGTCCAGGTCTCTTTTGAAGAGGCTGAAACCTCCCATACTATTCAAAGCATTCCCTGGAGATCTGACACTTAAGTCTAATGGCAGTTTTAAGCTTCTCCCAATGGTATGAACAATTCCTTTTTGCAAATGCTAAGTGTTTCTCCATAAGAAAAGAGATGTAATTGAACTATTAAGCCTGAAATCAGAACCAGTGGCTTTCATTCCACTCTCAGAGTATTACCATGTACATAAAGAAGAATCACAGCTGTCCACTTCATCCAAAAGTGGAGTCCATTAAAGCACTAACTGATGCATCCTTTCAGGACTCCCAGGCTTTGTCCTCCCATCTGACTCTGAAGGAACATAGATTTAATTTTGCTTCTTTCTCAAGTTCTTTTATTGTGAATGTAAGCATTTAATGCACAGAAAAACACTGAGAACTACAAATCCACCAAGTACTTTACAGACCTTTCTGCAAGGAATAAAGCTTCAACAGCAATCTCTTTTCACATTGACATCCAAATCTTTTATACATTTGAAGAAACCAGAAAACTGTGGAGTAGTTATTTAATCATGGGTACATACGATACTGACAATTTAACCAATCATAATAAAATTGTCCAGGGTAATAAAGGTTTAAATTTATAATTATCAGATGAAACTCTATACCGCTGTTCATCTTTA